GTGAATGAGGAGAGCCTACTTTATGAGTCTGTCTGAACGTCATATAACAGGTGAGTCCAGCTTTTATGAGCCTCGTCACGTCTTATTGCATATATGGAGTTTCCTCCCAGCATTTTCTGTGTCCTCAGTCTGATCTACACAACACCAGCAGTTCCCTGACAAATCAGAATATATATATATATATATATGTGTGTGTGTGTGTGTGTGTGTGTGTGTATTAGTTTTAACATAGGCCTATATTCGTTTTTCCAAAAGCTTTTAGGGTGAGATCGCACACCTTTATTTGTTCCGAGGAAGGGTGGATATGTATGTACACAGTAGACAGACAGCATGATTTACAGCTCAACATTGTGTCAGCTTCAAATGATTTCTGCAATCCTGTTCTTCCCACAGAAGTTCTGTACTTCAGCTGCTGTAGGACAGGGAAGGCTAAAGGACACAGTGATAATTAGCACAAAGAAAGATGACGTGCTTTTCTTATTTTGTGTGTTTAGGTTGTATCAATAGCTTTTCAAGTTTCTCAGTGCCAGTTTTCAAATTGTAAATCAGTTTTCAACATGTAATTGATTGTTTAGACCGCTGCTGAAGAAGAACATGGTGTTGTCACATATGTGTTACGTTGGATTTGGCTATTTGAAATATTTTTTATAAAGTGTGGACTTTCCACTTGTTTGTAAGGAGCCCCTTCTTGTCATCAACAGATTTAAATATTTATAGTTAAAAAAAATAGAAAAAATAGAGAAATGAAATTTCAATGTTTCTCACACGCACCTCCTGGTGGAGGATGACTTTATGGTCTCTTTATGACTTTAAATAATACTGTCAGTGTCAATTTATTAATAATAATAATAATATTTTTTCAGGGTAGGCATTATTTTAGTCATAATCATAAAAATAATAATAAATATTTAATTTATAGACTAATTTATAGCAATTTTTCTCACCACATTATTTAAGCTATCACAAAAAAGTATTCATTTTATGACACAACAAATCTTGTTTTTCATATCAGCTGAACTGTTTGGGCCTTTAGATGTTTATCAGTACCTGCTTATACTTTATGAATGTAAAACTGTAAGTAGACTTCATGCAGATGGCTTGTTAGTACTGATGTCTGCCGTTCATGATAAAGTACTCTCTGTACAGTGTGTTCTGATCCTTCACGTCAAGAAGTACTTCAGTTCTGTAAAACGATGCACGTCTCTCATGCTCACAGATAAGTATTGCAGCGTCATTCTAGTAGTTCCGGTAGGTTGAGAATCACCAGATACTTTACTCTATATCAGTTTGTGTTATTCGCATACCAGACATGGTTTAATGCTTCTTTACTTTTCTTTTTGTATCTCATTTTCATTCTTATTTTCACCAGTTCGGGTTACTGTAATATTTTCAATGACTTCTATGTCTCATCATTGGGAGCCAAAATGTTCAAACTCCTTTTGCAGTCATTATTAATTTATAAAAGAGCACCTGAGTGCAACGAATGACTAAACACTAGTTTAAGCCATGCAGTTAGCATACCGAACATCTCATAAGCACAAATAATAGTCATCACTGTATAGACAGCTAAATGAAACCTGACATTAGTGTTTGTGACCAACAGGCCATGTTGAAATCCTGCATGTCTGGATTGGCTGTCAACTGCAAAAGTACAGAGTGTTTAACAAACACTTCACACTTACAAGTACAGTAAATATAGCAAGGGCAAAGTATGAATATGTCGTAATCTGAGTCACAGAAACTAGTTTGGCATACAGTCAGCACAGGATCGGGATTATCATAACACAAGTGTTTCCCAGAAATGGTGTTTCATTAAAATGCCTTTGCAACACTAATTGATTTTTGAATTTAGTAAGACATTGAGCTTTCGAGTTCAGTTTAGGTTTTATTTGAATATCACATACAGTATAATACAGATAAACACTTTAAGATTTATATATAAATATATTTTTTAATATTTCATTTTTTTCAATACACGGTCAAATAAAACAGAATATGACTGTTTTACTTTAGGAAAATAAATACAAGGAAGTAGCAAACACAGCATTATAAATCAAGTCACATCTTGCACGTTTCCCAGCACCTTACTTCCTATTACCGATGCAACTTTACGTGATTATATGTTATCTCATCAAATGAGATGATATGATATCTAACATTATTTTCAATGACTTCTATGTCTCATCATTGGGAGCCAAAATGTTCAAACTCCTTTTGCAGTCATTATTAATTTATAAAAGAGCACCTGAGTGCAACGAATGACTAAACACTAGTTTAAGCCATGCAGTTAGCATACCGAACATCTCATAAGCACAAATAATAGTCATCACTGTATAGACAGCTAAATGAAACCTGACATTAGTGTTTGTGACCAACAGGCCATGTTGAAATCCTGCATGTCTGGATTGGCTGTCAACTGCAAAAGTACAGAGTGTTTAACAAACACTTCACACTTACAAGTACAGTAAATATAGCAAGGGCAAAGTATGAATATGTCGTAATCTGAGTCACAGAAACTAGTTTGGCATACAGTCAGCACAGGATCGGGATTATCATAACACAAGTGTTTCCCAGAAATGGTGTTTCATTAAAATGCCTTTGCAACACTAATTGATTTTTGAATTTAGTAAGACATTGAGCTTTCGAGTTCAGTTTAGGTTTTATTTGAATATCACATACAGTATAATACAGATAAACACTTTAAGATTTATATATAAATATATTTTTTAATATTTCATTTTTTTCAATACACGGTCAAATAAAACAGAATATGACTGTTTTACTTTAGGAAAATAAATACAAGGAAGTAGCAAACACAGCATTATAAATCAAGTCACATCTTGCACGTTTCCCAGCACCTTACTTCCTATTACCGATGCAACTTTACGTGATTATATGTTATCTCATCAAATGAGATGATATGATATCTAAC